CTCTGTCAGTCTGTCTCTCCCTCTTCCTCTCTCTGCCTCTGTCTCTCTCCTCAGCCTGTCTCTCTCATTAGTCTCTGTCCCTGGTCCTAAAATCATCTCATTTCACAGATACAGGGGAGCTTGAGGCCAAGGGCAGGGGTAGAGCTGAGTCTAGAACCCTGGTTCTCTGGGCTGCTTTCCTCCAAAGCACAGCTACTGCTGACCTCTTTGCCAGTATGCCCCCGCCCTGCCACCTGCCATCAGTCACATGTCCTGAGGGGGAGGGGTAGCAGAGAAATGGGCACCCTCCCACCTAGGATATCTTAACAGCTGAGAATGCCACCAGCTGCCTCCCAGGGAGGAGATCAGGGTCTGGGAATGGAAACAACCCTCCAACTTGGGGGCCCCCCCCATCTGCTGAGACAGATGCCACCCTCCTTACATGGGGCCCAAGGTGAAGAGAGGGGAGGGGGGGAGGGAGAAGAGATCCCGAGGAGGGGGCCGTGCCCCAGAGGGAGGCACAAGGTCCAGGCTCTCACCCTCCCTCTGCTGCTAACTCTGCGACCCTAGGCAAGGCGTTCAATGCTTCGGGGCCGCCGTTTTCCCATCTAAACCCTCGCCTTGCCTCCTGACATAGTGGGAGACGGCAGACATGCCAACAGAGGGGTTTGTTGGGGTCCCCAGTGTCTCTATGGGGATTGGCACAGGACAGCTGTGCCACCTTCTTAAGGTCCTGGGGGTGGCACCATTTTCTTGTCTTTGACAGGACTTCCCAGGAGATGAGAAGAAGGAGCTGGCTTAGGACTGCCTTTGGCTTCTGCCTCAGTGCCCCATCCTTGGCTCTGGAGAAGAGGCCAGCTGAGCTTGGGGAGGGAAGGCTACAGGAGGCTGGAGACTTGGGAGGAGCCCCACCATTGTCTTCACTTGGCTAAGGTGGGTGGGACCAGGCCTAGAAACGCAGCTTTCTGCCAGCTGCCCCTGCCCATCAGGCCCTGCTCTCTGGAAGGAGCCCCCAGTATTTTCAGAGCTCCCTTACTGGGTGGCAATGAGGGGTGGGGAGGAGGACCTAGGGCCAGGCACAGGACTGGACAAAGGGATGGATCTGGACCCGTTCCTTCTGACATCCGCCTGGCTGGAACTTTGACCTTCACTCCAGGTCTATCCGGCAGGTGCCCCTCACCCTGCCCCTGTGTCTGTCCACCCTCAGCACAGACCCAGCAGCCCTCAGCTCTCCCCTGTGATTCTCACCCTTTCTGCCTCTCACAGTCCTGAAGGGAATGAGAATCTGGGATGGGGAAAGAGAGATGAGCTGGGCCATCCCAGCCTCAGTCTCATGCCCCAGCTCCTCTCCTCCTCCTGGTCCCCTCCTTTCTCCCTGAGGTCAGATGGAGCCCACAGGCCGCAGAGAGCAGGGATGTCTTAAGACCACAGAACAGGAGCATCACAGAATGCGCTGGCAGGCTGTCCCCTTGGCCCTCCCTGTAACCTCCAAAGCCCCTTCCCTCTTTGCCCCAGAGCCCCATCCCCACTCCCTGCCTTGGCTTCAGGCAGCCCTCGCCTTCCCAACTCAAGGTAGCCAGACGCAGAGCGGGGCCCAGGCGGGGTCTTGTCCACGGCTCCATCTCATCAGCTCAGAGACCCCACTCAACTCCCCGTCATCCCACTGACCTGGAGGTAGGCCTGCAGAGAAGGGGAGCTCGAAGGAGCAGGGCCGCCTGTTGGCACTGTCACCACCCCAAGCCCTCCTGCCCCTAGTTATAGTGACATCTGATCTTGCCCCAAAGTCTATTGGGCAGCCAAGGAGCAAGGCGAGGGAGGTGAGGACCCTCCCAGTCTTGGGGGCCATACCAAGTATAGATGCAGCTGTCTCCAGAGGCTGAGAAGGAAGGGACATGTTTGGAGAAGGAGAGAGGCCCCCTGGCCTTGCCCCCACCCCCAGCCAGGAAAGGGAATGCTTCTAAATTTACAGCCCAGTCAGGCCAGCAGAATCTCAGTGGGACAGGGTGAGGTGGAGGAGGGGGCTCGTACGACATTGTGTCCCCAGGGGCCCTGCTGGGCTGTCCTGTTCTCCCCTTCAGCTACTCCCACGTGCCAGGGAACCCCCACCCTGTCCTCCTGGCCACCTGCCCCAAGCATTCAGCACAGAGGTGGGCCGCGGCAGCAGAGCCAGAACCGAGGCCGTATATGGTCGGCTCTCCTTCCCCAGTCCCCCACCATGGGGTCCACTCTGGAGACATGCTCTCAGTCCCTTTGGGACCACGTCCAAGTGGGACCTTTCCTAAATGGTGCTATTCCTCTGATGGCTGCATCCATCTTCCCGATACACTGGGGAGGAAAACCCAAAACACAATGCTGTGTGAGCCTGGACACGTCACAGCCTCTCTGAGCACCGGTAC